ATGTAATCTGAAACTGACCATTTTTGCTAAAAAAAAAAAAAAAATTGAAAAAAAATAAAAGATGTATATAATAAGCATAGCCTGATGTTAATTCAGTTTGTTCTATTTTATGCATCCATATCATTTTTTTTGCGAGATCTTCCTCCACTAATCTTGTTAGTATCTGAGATCGGCTGGATGAATAAAACCTGATAATTCACTGAATCAGTTTATCCCAGCGCTGGGCGCTTTGGCTTAAAAAAAAAAATAAAAATAAAATCTTATTTTCATACCAGATCTGATTTTAATCTTTTTTTCTTTTCTTTACAAAAGAAAATTACAGCGACAGAAAATATTTTCAGAAAATGCCTTGTATTTTACGCATCTTTTCTGCGAGTTGTACAGAGAATTAGGGCTACAAGAAATTTTATTTAGTTAGAAGAATTTAGTCACAAGACTAACAGTACTAAAAATGTGACTTTACGAGAACGTAAAATTATGAGAAAAAGCTTCGAGAGTTATCAAAATATGTGTTGACAAATAAATGGTCAGAGAAAACACAGCTACTGAGAGCAAAGTGGAACCAGAGTAGAATTCTGTACAGATTCCTGAAGTGTTGAAAGGATGTGAATATTTCTGTCAGGGATTGTAATGTGGTTCTTTTTATTTTTATCAAGAACTGGACAGAAAATGAACTAAACAGCCAAAACGTCAGAAAAAAAAAAGTTTTGATAAAGATCAAGAAAGTCTGGTGCTTGGAAGAAAGATAGAGGAAGTTTGAGATGTTTGCTATGTGATTTGAAGCTGTGACCTTTGACCTCAGCACAGTGATTTCCTGAAAGGTCCAACTGCTGTTAGGAGCAGTTGGACCTTTCAGCTGAATAACTGCAGGTACCTGGGGGATTTCGCAGACGATCCACAGGATTATGTAAGAGGTAAGACAATCATGAGGGATAACGCTAACGGTCCACACAGGCTCCTGTAACCCCGCCTTGACCATTCTCTTTTTGTTCAGGTCGGGTCAGAGGTGAGCCCAGCAGCCGCATCATAGGAAGCAGGAGGAAGGAGACGGGTGAGTTACCTCTGGTCATTTTGTTAATATCTTTAAAATGATAGCAGCACAAACAAGTGCCTATGCTGCACAAATGTTTGACAGTAATTTTGTTTAGTTTGATCCAAACTAAACAAAATTAGTTTGGATCAAATATTTTGGCTTGATAAAAAATATTTGTAATATTGATACAAAGTCGGTATCAGCAACAGATTGATGCTAGCAAGGTAAAATCAATACTTTAGTTTCAGATTTCCTGTTAAAATGTTATTTTGTAGTTTCCCAACTCTACTGTAAGGTTTCTCTCGAGTTGCTCTCACATAACTTTTTGCACCTTATTTTGGTAAAATGCGAATAGATTTGTTTTTCATTATCTGGATATGTTTTTAAATGATTTTATAGCGACCTATGAACTTTATCTGGTTTCACTTCTAGATTTGAACAAACCTGGGACAGATTTTTTAAGCAAGTTTTATTTTCAATCATCCCTTCTGTGGGTATTAGGGCTATGAGAATTTATTATTTATCAGAACGGTGTCTTAATATTTGCAGGATAAAATTTTAATTTTACCATTAGAACATCTTAAAATTATGAACATCTTAAAATTATGAGGAAAAAAAGCTGTTTTAATGACAAAAAAGCTTGAATAATTAATTTTTCAATTGTTTTCTCCAAAAATGTCTATTCTGGTCATTTTAACACTTTATTCTCGCATTACAACAGTTTTCTGGTAACATTGCTTTATTTTGTCGTAAAGTTAAACTGAATTTCAAGTCCAAATAAATAGAAGCTGTAAAACACGCTTGTCAAACAAGATGGCTGCCTTGGAAATATTGGCATAAAACTGAACTATTAAAAAAAAAAAAATCAAAATTTTCCACAAATCACATCTTCAAAAACCAAAAATTGGATTATTTAAAATCTGTTTATCTCTCAACCCTTTGCTGATTTATTACATAAAGTTCCAGTAAAATCACCAGGAGTTGAAGCTAATCTCTTTCCTTTATTTCTCTCCATAAGTAATCCTAGAGGATTTGAAAATCAGATTGCACCTGGTAAGTAAAAACACAGAGGCTCAATAGAAAAAAAACAAACAAAACAGCTCGTTTATTTTGTTTTCACACGAGAAGCTCCAAGTGAAAAGCTTTTAACATGTTTCTTTGAAATGCAATCAGAAAAACAAAAGTTACCTTCCTGGAGTTTTAACACTGATAGACATGATTTCTACTAATCTGATCAGAGGCTGAAGGCCAGGGAGAACATCGTCACAACTTCTTCCACATGGATAAAATCATCGTGAAGTGAGAAGTCCTCTCTGGTTTCACATCAGTACAGCAGGTCAGTGTGGGGGGGGGACCTGTGTTAAAGTGCAGACTAGAGCCGGAGGGGGGCGGCTTCAAGACCTAAATGGACACCAGGGGTCAGAGAGGAGCCTTCCTTCCCCCTGTGAACCGTAGCTTATGTTCAGCACATTTTCAAAGTGGCTCAGTAATTTATTACGACTGTAGATCACCATTCATCGAGTCTCACTGCGGCGTCACACTGTGAGCAACGCCAGCGTCAGGAAAACATCGCAGAGTGCAGGTTTTTATTGGCCTGTTCTGAGGTGAAACAGATTAGAGACGCTAAAAAAAGAATTCTGACTTTAATCTCAGAATTGTAACTTCTTTTTTTTCTCAGAATTGTTTATGCACAATTTCATCCAAATCTAGTCTGAAAACTCAAATCTAGGTACAGGCTTCTAGTGTGGATAACGTTTACAATTCTAAAACAAGGAAGAAACAGCTAAGTCATTATTATATTTTGACGCAGAATTAGAATTCAAAGAATTAATTCAGAAAAAAAAGTCTAAATTCTGAGATTAAATTCAAAATTCTGTTTTTATTCAGTGGTCCTAATTATCTTCTTTAAACCCTTGATAATAGTTGAAGGATTTTTTTTTTGTTTAATGTAGTGTACAACTCAAAAAGGATCAACTGATTGGCCCAACAATGGAGTTTTAAAAGTGGTCTGATGGATAAACAGCACATAATTTATTTATAAAATTGTTTTAAGTAATTTTTTAATCAAAAAGTTTTTAAAGATCATCGTGCAATGCCTTAAGGACGCATTAATCTGTGAAGTTTTTATTTTGCAGCTTTCTGCAGCAATAAAAACCCGACGGGAAGGGAAAAAGCAGATAGCTAAGTTTCCAGCTGTTTCTGGTGAAAATGTTGATTTAAGCATTAGGAAAGCATCATTGAAAGCTTAGAGTTTTGTTAATTTAAATGAAGAAAACATTTTGGTTTGCTTCAGATGCTTTATGGTTCATATGAATGATTGTTTCTGTATCTAATGCTATGTTGGTTCAAGCTGACTCACGTTTCTGTCTTCAAAATGTATTCTCTCCTAATCTGGTCAAAAACAACTTCATGATTTCATCAAGATGTTTAAAATTTTAGTCAGTCAGGACCAACTTTTGGCTAGAAATGGAAAAACAGCTGCTTGTTCTTGGCTGGAGAACTTCTGAAATTTCTACATCAGTTTTATGAATAAAAATAATTTTAAATGTATTTAAATCAGGCTCTTGTTTTCACAGGGGACTCAGGCAGAACTGAAGGTGTTGAGCCTGATTCTCTCCCTGTTCAGACCCAAAGTTAAAATCAGAACTTTAACAGATAAATCAGAAAATGTTATTTCGGTTGTAGCTGATGGCTATTTGATTAAAGTGAAAGCAAGTTGAAAAGGTGAATGTTACCAAGAAGTGGAATTACAAGTTACAGCTGGAACTTCCTGTTTCCATGCAGGGACCAAGATCCAGAGTTTAAATATTCCAAAAATAATTTTTGTATTATTTTCTAAACCTTTTTTTTTTATTATTAAAGAGTGTTGGTGCTCCTTAATAGAGCGGTCAGTGCTCATGCTACTTAGTTTTTCCTTCCATGTTTTTTTTCTTTCCAATTGGATGTCTCTGTTGAGCAAAATAGTTACAAATTAAATGATATTTAATAATATATGACCCAGAATAATAATTCTGACATCATATGGTAACCAGCAGAAGCATTACGGCGATTATTTTTTTCCAGATTGGCTAATGTAAGTGTAGGGAAGTGCTTGAATGTGTCGGCGCATGTCAGTGTTGGATTTGCTCTTTGTGTTGTGGAGCTTTGTGGAGTATGTCCTCTGAAGGACACCGTACTTGGCATTCGTTAGTGTGCGCTGGTAATACAACGGCCAGTTTCTGCTCTGCATTCTAAAGGTAGGCAATACTGACCGCCAGCTCCTCAATGTAACAAAATGTTACTTTTAATGTTCAGCTAGTTAGTTTTGTATCATTGTTAGTTTTGTATCATTTTGTCTTCTTTTCTTCTTTTTTTTATATATATATTCTGCATCTGTAAATCAAAAAAAAAATAACTGCGTGAATGAAAGTTGACAAGCAGTTTCTGCTCTGCATTCTAAAGGGCGAAGCCGCATCGCTGTCAGGTGGTCCGAATAAACGGTCACAACCACGATCCCAAACCGCAGTGTGTCAGAGTCTTGTTTCCTTCCGACGAAAACCTTAAAGAGTACACAACGCAGAGTCCAGGGAACAACGAGGACTCGACTCTCACAGCCAAGGGTTACATAAGGGAATGCAAATTGTTATGTCTTAGAAACAATAGTGAAATAAGATATAAAACATCATATCCATACATTTCTACAATTTGATAACTTCAAATTGGTGAGAATTGTTGGGTTTGTTACAATGCGTCTCTGTTAAAATAATAATAAAAAAAAAAAACTAATTTGTAAGTTATTTAAATTTCTTCTCAGTTCTGGGAACTGAGAAGAACTTTCCAGAAACTAGTTTAGGTTTTAGAGACAAAGTTTTGTAAAATATTTCATTTGGGAGGCGTAAAGCTGACCTGTGAACACCAAACAATAACAGTGCAATGATGATGGAGTGTCTTTAAAGTTTTCCATATACACCTGAAATCAAATCTTTTAGGTTCCAATTTTAAGTACTGATTTATTAGATTATGAAGAGTAATTAATGCTAAATTCGAGTCAGTTCTAAAATCAGCCAGGCTGCTCACAGTGTGAATTCACCAAACATCTCAAAGCACATCTTAAGATTTCCTTCATGTGTCGCCAGACCAGACTTCCCATAATAACCAAAAGGTGTGAAGCACTGGGTCAGGTCATTGCTGGTTCAGTTTAACATGGACTAAAAGATAAAATGAAAAGTCTAACTATGAAACCGCCTCCTTCACTGCAAATGTGCAGCGGTCAGACAAGGCATCGGGTTCGGCGTTCAAGCACATTGGCACTGAGAAAACGATGGGGGAGGGGAGAGATGGAGAGCTTACTGAATATTTCTTTGATTTGGAGTACATTCGTCATTCTTCCTTGAGAGGATTGAAGTAGGTTTTACAGTATGGTGCTGGTGGGAGGAAGCAGCTTTTAGAGGTAAAGAAACATCAAGTGTAGCAAACTAAAGCAGTGGCGGCCGGCGGCCAGCAGGGGGCTCCAGGGAGAAAAACAACAGTGATGGCAGCAGAAGCCTCCTTCTTCTCTGAGCTGATCCACAGCAACCCACTCTTGGCACTTTTTGGGCAATGATAAACGTTTGAACGAAATGACTGGAAAAACAACAAAAAAACTAAACAAAACAAGGTCGTTCACTGCGCTGTGCTCTCGGTCCGCAGAGCTCTGATCACGCTTTGGATGTTCTCTTCCGGGACCTGGAAGAGAAGCGGCAACAAGAAATTTTGTTTTAGTAGATAAGGTTACTTAGTTCACACGGTCTGGTAGTAAGAAAGCAGAGATGATAAAACGACTGAACAGATAAATGAGGAGAGGCAGACTGCTGCACTCAGCTGAAAATTTTACCATTATAAACAGACAGCATCTAGCGACCAAAAGCTAAGCATTGTGTTTGTCTACTGCATATAAGATACTGACTACTAAGGTTTTCCTACCAGAGCATGGTCAAACTTGAAGGTACTAATGTAGTAAGCAGGAATGTCAGCTGTTGCCAGAGGTTCTGATATTTGAGCCACGATGCCGCATTCATCTGCAAAACACGTCAGAAAAAAAAAATCAACTCTTCATCTCAACATTGACAAAAACGGTTTGCATTGTTTTCTAAGTGCAAAAATACAAAACCAGAAGCAAATATTACAGTGGATAATCCATAATCCACAACTGATCCCCAACTTTCATTTAAGGAACATATCAAAAAAATTATTTATGTAATTAAATTTCTTTATCCAAGTAATCATCCAGAATAACCGATTAATTGGATATTAAATTTTAGGAGCCATTGAAGCTTCCTGTAGCTCTCAGACTAAGAAGAGCTACAGGAAGTCGACTACTCCTTCAAAATAAAACAGCAGGAACTCACCGAAGCCTAAAGGTTGTCCTCCAATTCGAACCATTTTCCAGAGCTCACCAGAGGCGCTGGTGAAGAGAACGTTGTTTGGAAACCTGGAAGAGAAGAAATGACAGATTAAAACTGAAAAAAAAATCCAGATTTAAACATCACTAAAATCAGTTAAAAACCTGACCCCATAGACATTTTAGACAAAATAATGACTAAATACACAAAGCCATTTTGAATAATGTATTCATTCAAAGCATAATTATCATGCTTTTTACTATCCACAGCTAACTATGATAATTGTAGAAACAAGAAATTACTTAAATACAACCAGACTGACAACACGAAGCCCTGATGGATGTTGTTGCTATGGAGACACACCACAACCAGTTGTTAGGTTTAGGAGACTTAACATTTAAATAACTTTTTTTTTCCTTAATAAATTAAACTACATTTTGTATTTATTCTTTGTGGTATCAAATCTGAGATATGTAAGTGAGATGAAATCATGAAGACGAAACATGTCAGGTGGTAAATGTGGTTTCTTTGGAATATTTTCTGTAACTTCATGTATTTTTCCCTCATCTAGGAACTTTCTACAATAAAGTGAAGCTGCGATGTTTCAATGTCGTCTCTACAAAACACCACTCGTAGAAAAGTATGGTTGTTGGTTGCCATGGAGACTAAACGCTGGCTGGGGAAGAGATTTTTTTGAGAACAGCGACGCCACACAAGTGATGTTTGATCTCCTAAATCTGAAGGAAAAAAAATCTATATAATCCACAGCATTCAGGACAAAACCTGTTGGTTTATTGGATATAGTTTTTTTAATAAGAGGTTGAGTTACTTAGCTTATGTAACATTTACTATAAATAGTAAATGGCCAGGTGCTGAATAAGAAATCTGCAAGTAATGAAAAATACAAGAGGGGTGATAGATTAGAAAAAAAATGGATAGATTGATGAACAACTGATTATCCAGAAACTCCATTCCCTATGAGACAGGGAATAAACTTAAAAACATTTATGTAATTTTATGTGTTAATGTTATTTGTATGGCATGTTTGTTTCATGGGACTGTGAATGGAAATGAGCATCTTGTTAAATCCGGTGTATTTACATTATTAATATTGTACCATTGTACCATCATTAATATTCATTATTCCATCAAATAAAATATATTCAACTATTGATTAATTATCCAAGCATTTATTTATTTATTTTTTTACTTTTGGTTTGTTTCACAAATAAATAAGGTAAATTGAAGATATTCAGTGGTTAAAATAGAAATGAGAATAAGAACAGGTAGATTCTTCAGCTCGTTAAACCCAGGAAACTGCAAAGTGAAGACAAATAGGTCCCCTGTCCCTTTAAGGCACAACATTACAGAAAACATGGGGACAATTCTGACCTACATGCTACAGAAACCTGAAACCAAAGGTTTGATTCATATTTTTTAAATGATTTTTTTGTTATGATTTCAGTTAAGGCATCAATGACATGTCCACTTCTGGTTCTGAATGGCCGGGCTTTGATTAGGCCGTTAGGGACGAGGTGGAACATGAAGCCGGATGCTTTTCTGCATGGGCTCCAAGCTTAATGAGGGAGTTCATGGAGAGAAAATGGGGGACTCGGTGGAGAAGGAATGAGTCAGAACGACACCCACTGTGATTTAAGTACACCGCATCCACCCAAGAGGTTCGTTATTGCTTAGCAACAAGCTAATCACCCCCTCAAATAGCAATCATGAATTTATTCCCCCGACATAAAAGTAACGACCCCTTTAGCAGAGAAAAACAACATCTTGAGGAAACGAGTGGGATTTTCAGGGAAAAAGAAAGATAATTAAGTTTTATTTGTGCTCACCTCTGAGCCGTCTGTTCGTCCATGACCAGAGAGATGTAGCCCTCGATCAGCGAGAAGGAGAAGAAGCGGATATGACTGGAGTCCTCGCCGGACGCCCCGACCTCTTTTGACCTGGGGAAGAAACTGAAACCTTCAGGAACTCAACGTCTCTTATGGTCACATCCAGCTCGTTTTCATGCCTAAAGGTAACCTGAGGTCTACGACCCATACAAAACATATTACATTTCATTGCACCAACTCATTCTTATATAATCAGATTTTAGTCTGATCAGTTCTGCCTATTTTCAGAAGGAGCCATTTTATGGTGTCTTTTCACTTTAAATTAAAATAA